GGACTTTTGTGACTGCTTGAACTAAGGGATTGCACTTTGAGCAGAAATGACACTGTGACCTTGGCAGTCAGATCAGTAGAAGGGATCCCTGGAATCCCTGTGCATGTAAGCCCTGTAAGCAGCAACCTGTCATGGGGAGGCCATGATGGGAGGAAGCCCAAAGTTTGCCATGCACAGAGAACACATGGAGCGATACCATGCCCCTAGGAAAGAATGGTGCACCCACTGCTCCAGCCCTCCACTATTTTAGGTCCAGTCACAAAATAATAAAAGCCACATGAAATTAAGTCCTTCCTGAACCCCTGACCCACAGAAACATGAGAGCAAATAAAATGACTGGCTTCTAAGTCACTGCTTTAAGTCGTTACATTCTAGGTAACTGGTAGGCGGCAGCAGAGGACTAGAATATCCATAATACGTATACATGATGCTCACACCGAGCTTGCTTCCACCTGCTACTTCATTTTATCCTCTCCACGGCACTGGGGAAAACATGTTATTATTCTCCTAACAATGAAGCAGATGCCAAAAGGGTAACTGAATTGCCCAATCCCCCAAGGTCACATGACTCTTGGGCAGCAAAACAAAGCTGCCTGGGCAGGAATTCTGACTCCAGTTCCAGTGATTTTTTTTTTTTTCTCTGCGAAACCATAGACGACTTCCAGAACAATCCAGGAACAGACAGAGCAGAGATCAGAGGATTGTTGTGCTCCCAGTTCTAAGCACCCCATAGAGCCCCACCCCCCTGCAGTGGGGATATGCAAGAGGCACCTGCCAGGGCAAGTCCCAAGACAAGAGAGAGCAAGGCCTTTGTTCCTATTACCAGCTACGGCCTCAGCATCATTATGGAAGAGTTTTCTGAACTACTTGTCACACTCCAGAGAAGTTTCCACACAAAGGAGATGATGGCAGCATCCTCGGTTCCCAGGCCTGTGCCTTGACAGGGTGTCAGGATGAGTTTTAGCACTTGGAGCTGAAAACAGTGTCAAGGAAAAGAGCTTCTATTCTGACTCCACTGACTGACATTTCTTGTTTGCCTCTATTTTTTTTTCCCCCACTGAAATCCTTAAAGACAAAGTGATGGTGACAGAGGAAGCCTACGGCTCATGGAATGAAGCCAGCTCTCCAGGGCCGCACACACCCAGAGCACATGGCAACACGAGGTGTCGTGTCAGCAACTGGTATCTTTTGAATTAAGTTGTGCGGGATCTAAACAGGTCCAGGCGGTCATCAAGGTGAGTACTATCCAAAGTAACTTTTTGGGTCTAAGAAGTAACTTTATCAAGGCAGACAGTCAAACAAGCGAATGAAACGGAACTTCAGGTGCAAGCCAAAAACTAAGAAATAAGTTCCAGGTCTGCATTCCTAGACTGTTACTTTATCTGTCAAGGAACACAAGAAGAAAGGGAGCCCCTCATTTATTTGTGTGATGCCTTAAAGCGGTGGTTTCCAGTCAGCTTCTGCTATCTTAGTGTCATTTAGAGTTTTTAATACTCATGTTCTTAAGACCTATTCCGAGAGATACTCAGTCAGTACGTCTTGGGTGATAAGTCCCCTGAAGAAGCGTGTTTGAAAGGTAATTCTAACACATAACCAGCTATGAGTACCACCCAGGGGACAGACATACCCATAACATCTCTTCTTTCTACTAGCAGAACTCAAGGTGTTAGCAGGGAACATGGCTTCTTTGAATACAACCTGTTATTTCCAGGCTCCCTTGTAGCTCTGTGGCAATGAAGTTTTGCCAAAGGACTCTGCAAGAAGCTGACATGTGAATGCATTTCTAAGTGTCCTTAAGGCAAGGTCCATTTCCCTCGGGTCCATGTAAACATTTCACCTTTCCTGACAGCTGGATGCCCTGGATGCTCATCATGAACCATGAGATGACCTTGGGAAATAACCCGTATAGTGGGCAAAAGATAAAGGAAGCCTGTACCTCAAGCACTGACATCTCAACACCAAAGCCTCGAATTCTTCAGCATAAAGAAGAATAAGATGCAAAGCCTCAGGGTGACGGTTTTGGGTGAACACACAGTGAAGGCTAAAGGAAATAAACTTTCATAGATTCTTCCTCAAAGTCTAATCACCTCTTGTCACCACTGAGATTACAGAAGGCAGGAACTTGATTTTAATCCCTAATTTACAGACAAAGAAACTGAGACCAGAAAGTGGTAGAACTTGCTCCATGGTGCAGAGATATTGAAGTAGGATGGGCCAGGTTGTAGAGCCCCGTCCCTAGCAGTCGTTTGCCCACAATATTTTGCAGGACACTCAGTACAGAAGCCCTTGTTAGTACCTCTCAGAAAACTGAGCACGGAAAGGGAGACATTAGCTCAACACCAGCAGCAGGAAGCGAGACCCCTATTTTCTCCATTTGTTTTACTTGCTACCACACCCTTTTTCTTTTCCCATTTTATTAGCCCCTTCCTTGATTTTGGTCAGTTTTTAACTAGACCTGAGTCATAAATCATATGAATATACTTGAGGAAACAAATGCCCCCCTCTCGGCCATCCCATACAGTTAGCAGGGCTCCATCACCCCTCTGTGCTGAGAGCAGAGAATCTGCCAGAAATTAAATAAGCCTTCATCTAGTCAAGAACATAAGATCCCAGAATTTGGGACCTCCCAGACCAGCTCAGTCTAAGAGAATCTATTAACATCACTGAGTCCTCATTTTCAAAGACATAAAAGAGATAGATATTCACTAAAACAGGCCGCCAGCAGGACTGTGGAAACGGAATGAAATGGGCTGGCAGGCAGATAGCGTGTTAGATGGCTTGACAGTAGCATCTCCCTACTTGTTTATCATCTCTTTCTACACTTCCCGCCTCAGCATATAAGAACCAGAAGAAAGGGAGTCTTGTCTCTTTTTTATTCATTGTTATCGCCCAGCATACAGAACAGTATGAGATCCATACTGTGGGCTCAATAAATGTTTGGGGCATGAATGAGTAATGATAACACAAGCAACCCTGCCCCGCCCAGCTTCTCTGCACTTTCCTAACTGACCAGCCACTGTGTCTCCAACCTTTTCCTGCTATAAATGTCCTCCAGCAACCTTTCTCCATTCTCCACTAATTATCAGCCAGCTTGGAGGTTCATGAGAAATCCTATGATTGTTGGGGCTCTCTCTAACTTTTCCAGTCCCAAATCCCCTTCAGTGGTCAACATCACCCTATCAATCCAATATTCCCTTGTGATAGGCCACACAGAATCGCTAATACTAATAATCCTAACCACAGGAATAGCATGCTACAGTTCGCAATTTATGCATAATTGAAAACACACTATGTATCAGGCACTCTTGAGGCTTCAGATAGCCATTCCACTTAATAGCCCATACAGCAGGTATTACTTTCTGAAGTTCATCAACAGGACATCAGAAGTGCAGAGGAGTTAGGTAACTTGCTCAAGCACACAGAGCAGAAACCACCAGAGCTGGGACATGAACCCAGGCCTTTTGGGGGTCTCTAAAGCTCATGGATTTTTTGTTTGTTTGTTTTTGAAAAATTATTTATTTATACATATCAAACTAAGGTGCAGGCCAGAGGTGCGGGGGGTGGCGGTAGGGCAGGGATGGTGAGAGGATTCACCAGAGATAGAGTGGGGAGGAGAACGGGCAGATCAAGTGAAGCACACTGCTGAAGGGAGCAGTAGGTGAGACAGGAGAGGTCTGCAGCACCACGTGGGCCACCTCCCTGGCTGGGGTTCGACCTTGTGCTGCAGTAGCTGTGGACGGCTTCACAGTGCTTAGCTTTAACCAGCTGCA